ACACCAGACTCTGCCATCTGGTGCTTCATTTTATACACCTGTGGCCATGGAAGTGATTGGAACACCTGATTCTGATGGCAAATACTTTTGGCAGTATAATGTGTATATTATATACACACACTATATTGCATTATATGCTGTTAGCTTCCGAGTTAAAAAAAATAAATTTATATATTCTAAAAATAATAATAAAGTAATTTACTAAACATCACGTTTGATTGTTTTAACCTGCAGAATGTATGTAGTAACTAATGCAAAATTGAACTTTGTCATACATTTTAGGTTTTTAGCCTTGACTTTGTGTTTTAATCTGAAATGTAACCCTTTATCATCATCTTCCCCAATTGTGTCCGTAAAAAAATAGTGACATATTAAAGTGAAAATAATTGCTAAAAACATTAATGCTTTGGAGTTTTCACATGTGACAAAACAACATTTATTAGAACAGTGATATAAAAACATATTAAGGCAAACATCAAAATCAGAAATGCCTATGCAAATGAATGAACTACAAACCAGCTTTATTTGMTCAAATGTATAAGAAAGGGTTATTTCAAATGGAGCTAAATTTGATGTTATTGAGGTCATCACTAAAATCAAACTAACCTCCAGGTGACCACCCAGATGAAGGCAGCGAGCCAGGCAGACCTGATCTTTGTCGCGGTCTATCCCGAGCACCACTCCACGCTGTTGTCTGTAAAACCAGTGCTGGCCGGCAAGACTTTGGTGGACGTCAGCAATGGTCTACGCATCAACCGAGACGGTCCCTCCAATGCTGAGCTGCTGGCGGACTTCTTCCCTGAGAGTCACGTGGTCAAAGGGTTCAACACCATATCAGCCTGGACACTCCAGATGGGACCTCGAGATGGAAACAGGCAGGTGGGAAACGTCACCAGCTGCTGACTTAAGTCATAAGAAGTTCGGATGTAAATGTATGAAATGTTTTTGGGAACTCATTTTCTCACCTTGTTTCTTCAGGTTTTCCTGTGCAGCGACAGTCAAAAAGCAAAGGACTCGGTGAAGCAAGTCTGTCACCGAATGGGTTTTGTCCCTGTGGATATGGGTCTCCTTTCTTCTTCTCTGGAGATTGAAAACCGGCCTCTCTATTTGTTTCCCTCCTGGCACATCCCTGTTCTCTGCACCCTTTCCCTGTTCGCCTTTTTCTACTTATACAACTTCACCCGCGACGTCTTGCAGCCCTTCATTACGGCAGGAAGCAAAGCCTTCTACAAAATGCCCATTGACACCGTGAACCTCAGCCTCCCCTCTGTAGCCCTGGTGATGTTGGCGCTGGTGTACCTGCCTGGTTTGTGCGCCTCTTTCCTCCAGCTTTGGCGGGGCACCAAGTACCAACGTTTCCCCGACTGGCTGGACCGCTGGCTGATGGCGAGGAAGCAGTTCGGCCTCTGCAGCTTCCTGTGTGCAGTCCTTCATGCCATCTACAGCCTGAGTCTTCCAATGAGGAAGTCTGACCACTTCAAACTGATCAACCTGGCGTATAAACAGGTAAGATGAAGACAGGAGGAGGTAAAGGGGAGGTGTCCATTTTGAAGTGCAAACAATATGAACAGAGCTTCTTTTTGAGCTTTGTGAATTACCTCAGTTTGGAGAAATAGTTTGATGGTGAATGAACTCACAAGCTAATGGCTGGTCCAAATTAAAGTAAGAACAAAATAGTCTTCAGGGTCTCCTGTCAGTTGGACAAAACCTCCCTAGACACACATCCAGGGGGGCATCCCTTGTGGTTTTTGGCAGTCACTGAGTACACCAAACTATGTCCAATGTTTGGTCCAAACTGTGTCCTACGTTTGGATCAAACTGTGTCCTACGTTTGGTCCAAACTGTCCTACGTTTGGATCAAACTGTGTCCTACGTTTGGTCCAAACTGTCCAACGTTTGGTCCAAACTGTGTCCAACGTTTGGTCCAAACTGTGTCCAATGTTTGGATCGAACTGTCCAACGTTTGGATCGAACTGTCCAACGTTTGGATCGAACTGTCCAACGTTTGGATCGAACTGTCCAACGTTTGG